GCAAAAGGTAGGTGTAAAGCAACAAGCATTCATGCAGTTAATGACCTGACTACTTCAAGTTCTGTGTAAAAACGCATGATCGCACGGGCCCGCCCGGTGCGTTCCAGCCTGGGTCTTTTATCTATTTCTCATCTTCACGCTGCTTAGCTAGAATGTGGTACTCTTCAACTTGGTCATTGTCATTATTGCATTCGGGCAGCTCATATCCATTTTCCTTCTGCAAATTCAACAGTTAGGCGTTACTCATAAGCAGTTCGGCCTTTGTCGCTGCTACTGTTCTTTCCTCCATTTCGCTCTTGATTTAGCATTTTAAAAGCATGTATCGGGAATTTTGCTACTTCTAATGGAGTCGTAATTTTGCTGTTGCCAAAACCCACTAACACTCACCAACGTGAGGCATGGGCCGGAACACAGTTGTATTCTGCGACGACTGACTTGTGAGCTGTTTTCGGTTTGCACTGGTTATGTGTGACATTTATAGGGATATAATCATTGTTTATTTCTAAGTGAAAAGTGAGTGTTGACACTACGTAAGGATGTGGCTTTTCCATACTAAATCCAAGCCTTTTTGAATGAAACAAAATTTTTTATGACAATGGAATTTATTATGACAATGGAATTTTATGACAATGGAATTTTTGTTTACCGCCAGGAAATTCCATCCTGGTACTCCTTGTGGTGGTGGACAAGTGATAGCCTGCGTGCATTACACCTCTAAACTGAACGAAGTTTAGCACCTTATCAGTAAAGTTTCCGTTTTGCACCCCACTTTTGTTTATTTTCACTAGTTTTGGTACAAAATTGTTTAGAAAAAGGCAGCATTATCTTGTTCTCTACGCAAGTTTCAGTTTCCGGAAAAGAAAGCATGTTTTCTACATTGTCAGTTAGCTGAAATTGGTGCTGTAGATAATGATTTACAGAGGAGTCGGTGCTACGTCATGTTGAAGTTGTGGGAGGCGGTTGGGCTCATAACGAAACAGTCGATATAGCTGCCGTACTGGCCGTTCGACGAAGTCCTTCACTTGATCATGTCAATATCACCAATTCGTCAATGCACGCCTTGCAGGTCAGCTTCGAGCGGCATCCCTAAGTAGTGATGATAATCAGTCTTAACCCAGCGAACATAAGCGAACATTAAACTTTTAGCCTAACTGCGAGTGAGTGCACAATCAACAGCAAGAACTGGGTTTTTGTGAGCAGTTGCTGTGTGTATACTGTGCTTGATCAACTGATTCTGGATTTAATGTTGTGCGTTATGAAAAATAAGAGTTTGAGGATTTAGTTGTTTCTTTATGTGTTTTTGCATAGGTATGCAAATACAAAAATGTATGTTTGCAAAGGGTTGTGTGTGTGAGCGTATTCGTATTTTTTGTTACCTACTTTTAACTTGAGAATCGGAGAAATTGGGAAGCTGAAACTTCTGGAAAATATGCCCAATTCATGTGTGACTTCCTCTCTTTAGTATTATCATTCACGTACGCTTGGGTCTCAAGTACGGACGCCTAAAAGTAAATATGTCAGTTTTTTGACGGGATGCAATTTCGAGAATCAGACAAGGTAAGAAGATGAAATTTCAAGGGATGTTTTGTGTCCTTAGCTGAGCCAAATATTTCAAATTATGTTTTAAGCACACTTACGTCGCTTGTTCCGGCGTGTCAAATCTGAGATTTCGTAATCGTCGGCAAAATATCAATTCGTGAACTAAGCTGATTAGAGCGCTTAAACTCTAAGGGAGCGTTTGCTTTAAATACGTGCTCACATAGTCTAAAACGAGCTTTGGCGTATGCCTATATCGAGCATTCGGATACATCAAAGATATATGTGACGAAGAGCGATTTCACCGACCAGTCAAGTTAGAGAGCTGAACGTTTACGATAATACCCTATGCCAGTGTGCTACCCTAAATATTTCAAATTCAGCTTTAAAACATGCCTAGCTCTCACGTTAGCGCGCATGAATTTTTAGTTCGGAACACTGTTGGCGTTTTGTTAATTAGGTAGCTAGTCTGCTTTAAGTACACCTACGTCAGTGTGCGGCGCGTCAAATTTGGGATTTCGTAATCCCCGGCAAAATGCTAACTCGGGGACTAAGCATAAAGCAGCATTTTTCTGGGGGTGTTTGGTGTTCATGCGCGGGCCACTAAGCGTATGATGAGCTTCTGCCTGTGCGTGAACCCTGCTTACAGGCGCTTCAGATTTTATAACTGTAGAACCGTAGTCATATTCCTAGCGCAAGCATCCTCTTTACAGGATGAGGTGATGCAAAAGCGCGTAGTCCCACTAGCAAGCCTGGTATGTCACTGCCTAGACTTATTTTATGCTGATGACAGATAAAGCACTAAAATCTGAGGTTTCTTCCGTTGCTGGCTCTAATTTGTAGTGACAAATATTAAGCGAAACAAAATACGAATATAACAAGACATGAAAATAAGAAGCTCGAACGCAGACGTGTATTTTTTGTTTTATAGGTCCTTATCCCCCATGGAAACCTGATCATCAACAAACTAAACGTGACACATAATCGAGGACGCGGTATAACGCTTTGGCTTTCAAATCCTCATGGCACAAGTGAAGTGTCAGGTAATGTGCTCCATTGTGAAATATTCATATAAGAAAAAAGAGCAGTGAAATCAACGAGCATGCTGCAAGAGGCAGGAAGCATTTTCCTTTTTCGGCGTGGAAAATGTGCCAGAAGCAGCATTTGTCTTTAGGGAACAGGTATTAATTAAAAGGAAGGGCAAAAAAATCAACAATTTTTTCTAGTGACTCTTCGAATATTGCATATTTTAGTGTACCTCCGGAAGTGGAAGGCGCTGCAACCTAATTTTGGTGTTCTTTTAAAAACAGTGATTGACTGGCTGAAATAAGGGTCTCCATTTTGCCTTCGTTAGTCTAAAAGTTGCATTTCCGAACGTTTCCGGGCTAGCCTTCTACGTTTTAACACAGCTTGGCACTTATCAGCCAGAATTAAAACTAATCTCGCTATTGTAAAAATTGTAAGAGATCTCGAGATTGGCAAAATAGTGTTTTAATTTGTTATTGAGGTTTTAGGAGCAGTACTAGCAAAGATGAATATAATACCATACGATGTTCGAGGTCTGCTGAACATGTGTGCGGTTCAAAAGAAGTTCACGATAGCAAATCGAATTATCATGTTCTATAAGTACGACTCCTACCCTGTTGATTGTGTTAAGACATTCGTTTCACCGGGCCGAAATATCCTGTTTCGTTTCCTGCTGGTCAGTTTATTTTTACGATTTAGTCCGGACTTGTTCATTGTTGACTGATTGCTTCTGCGTCCTTTTGTGTATTTCGGAGCAACGCGATGATTTTGCCTCCGAACAAGTGCACTGCGGCAGTTTCACTCGTCCTTGAGCATTGTGTGGTATTCATTTTTATGCGTTTCTACTGTGCAGCGCTATAGCGCTGCTACAGCCAGTAAAAACGCATAC